GCTGAAAATTCGGTTACTTAATCTACATGCACGTACGGGCCCGGATCTCCAAAATGGACGCTCTTACCCTGGTGATGCCCACGTGAGGTTTTTTCGGATAAGCCGCTAACTCGGGAATTCGAAAAGCCAGAAGTCTGTAATTTTAAGAGGATGTTTCCTATCCAAGCGTGTATTAATGAGCTTAAACCCAGGCACCGGGTATGCGTGGTAGCTACGTACGGGCCTGTGAAAGTTTTTTTCGAGTAAGTTGCAAACTCGGGAGCCTGGAAAGTTAGAAAGTTGAAATTTTAAGAGGGTATTTCCTAACAGTTCTGATGGCCTATCTTAATCTGTTTAGCTAGAAGCATTTGCCGGAAAAACCGGGACAAAAACTGCGGGGAACTATGCAAAATGCGCATCTTCGCGCCGGCAGCCGGTTCGTTGGCCAATAATTATTTTTCTTTTGAAGGGAATGGATGATCATGTTGAAGCATTACGCGCAATTGTGCAGCATTTAGAGCAAAATGCTACTGCTGCTGCTGCCGCTGCTGGAAAAAGTAATATTCCGGATGGCAAGCCACTGCTAGAGCCGCTAGCAACAGTTATCGAAGAAACATCACTGATGGAATCGTCGACGGATCGAAACGATTCCACCACTGAATCACAGCATAGTGACGAAGCGCCAGCTGATCCTGGTGCTCCGGTAACACCCTCGTAATGTCGGAGGTATGCCGGAAAGGCGGTGAATATGTTTTATATTGATTTTATGTTCATTTTTGTTTTAAAAGCGCTACCAATGTGGTGCTCCTTTTAGCGAATGACGTAACTGGCAGCTTCTTCAGCTCTCTGAATCGCATCCCTGTAATTTTGCTCTAGCTTCTAGGTGGATGTCCCTTTAACAGTGGTTTATCACAAAAAAAAAGTTTCAACACGATCGCAAAGAAAAAAAACTCATTTGTGGTAAAAGTCACCAAAACGGTCGGGTATTTACAGCACAAATCATCAAGACGATCTTTCTTTCGTTGTTGCTACAGTCAGCAACAGAGGCCTTTGACTATACGCCAAACTGTACTAATGATTCCCACCCCATTCCGCACCGAATCTGCCGTCTGTGTTTACAATTTAGGGATGAAATACAGACCGGACAACAGCTCAATGCACATACAGGCTCACTTATCTGGGTATCTGAATTAGCACTCACTGCTTTCCCACAGTTGACAATATTCGACTGTGTCCCTTTCATCGGCTGGCCTACAGCGCTAAACAAACATCCATAGCTTACATTTTTCAAAAAAATTTTCAAAAATTTCCAAAACACAAAACATTTAGTGACTTCACCTCTATTGGGGGTGAAATTGCTGAAGTTTGACGTATAGCCCAGAGACCAGAAACAGCAGAACGAGCTTTTTATGCTCAACAGGATGCTGGATTTCATTTATGGGGGAATCGAATGTTTACCGATCCCCGACTGCTGGGAGTTTGGGGTCGCCTTTTGAGAATTCGCTGATCGGAAGCTATCATACTACAAAAGTTGTGCTTTGCGAAAATTTGGGAGCTCTTTATTCCAGTTGCATTTATTTTGCTATTTTTTAGTCGTTTTTGTGCAAAAAAAAAGATTTATTTCGGAGTAAGAAGCTAACATCCATTTGCTTGCACCGGAAAAAACCCGAAAAAAATTCTCTAAGCCCCAGACGGGTGGAGAAAGTGTTGGATTTATTGATGGCGTGAAGGATTGGCGGCGATGAAATTACTGGTTTTCAAAGCATCAGCTACAGAAGGTGGATTTCTACGAGAAAATGGGGGGAGAGGGGGGGGGGGGG